CTGTAGTGGGGGGCCCAAAACTGGATGCAATACTCCAGATGTAGCCTCACCAGTGCTGAATAGAGGGGAATAATCACTTCCCTCGATCTGCTGGCAATATTCCTACTAATGCAGCCCAATATGCTGTTAGCCTTCTTGGCAACAAGGGCACACTGCTGACTCATACCCAGCTTCTCATCCACTGTAATCCCCAGGTCCTTTTCTGCAGAACTGCTGCTTAGCCAGTCGGTCCCCAGCCTGTAGCGGTGCATGGGATTCTTTCATCCTAAGTGCAGGACTCTGCACTTGTCCTTGTTGAACCTCATCAGATTTCTTTTGACCCAATCTTCCAATTTGTCTAGGTCACTCTGGACCCTATCCCTACCCTCAAGTGTATCTAAATCTCCCCCCAGTTTAGTGTCATCTGCGAACTTTCTGAGGGTGCAATCCATTCCATCATCCAGATCATTAATAAAGATGTTGAAAAAAACTGGCCCCAGTACAGACCCCTGGGGTACTCTGCTTGATACCGGCTGCCAACTAGATATCGAGCCGTTGATCACTACCCGTTGATTGTTGAGCCCAACAATCTAGACAGTAGTTACGCAGTTATGTATACCACTATTGCTAGCCAAACTGCTTCTGTCTTAATGCCATCAACCTGGAAAGTATCTTTGTAAGAACATGCTTTGGCTCTCACTCAGAAACTCACTGCAGCTAGCCCAATGCCAAATAGTTTGTGGAAACCTTTTACTCTGTGGGCTTATCTACATGGGGAAATTGACCAGAATAACTATTGTAGAATTAACTATTCTGCTCTAGCTATTTCAGAATAGCTCCCTATCTAGACACTCTACTCTGGAATAAAAGCCACAATTTATTTATTAATTAGTGTGTTTTGTGAACATAGTAGTTATTCTGTAATAAAGTGACTTTTATTCTGGAATAAAGTGGCCACATGGGTACACACAGGGAGCTATCCCAGAATAACTGTTGTGGTGCAATAGCTATTCTGGTCAGTTTCCCAATTTCCCTCATGTAGACAAGTATTACATTTCAGAGGAACTTCTACTTTTCAGACAAAAAGTGAAACAATATGTAATTCTACACATACCCTATTCAAGGGTGTCAGCATGTGATTATACAGCAAAAAGTGGCACTGGGGGTTCCATGTCTGCCTCTCTGTGACTTCCACATCACATGTGCTTAGCTTACAAGTTAAAAAAAACCCAAACAAAGCAAAACTAACTTTCATCATTTCCCCCCCTTTTTAACAATAGGAACAACCCCCGAGTTCACAGATTCATTAAAAATCCTTGCCATTGGACTTGCAATTTCTGTGCCAGTTCCTTTAATATTCCTGGATGGAGATTATCTGCCCCCTCCCCACCCAATTTATTCCTTTAAACTGTTTGAGTTTGACTTCACCTCGGATGTGGTAATTTCTACCTCCATATCCTGATTCCCATTAGTCACCCTGCCACTACCCCCTAAGCTCTGCATTAGCCTCATTAGAAACTGAGGCAAAGTATTTGTTTAGGTCAGTGGCCTCAAACTTTTGTACTAGTGATCCCTTTCACATAGCAAGCCTCTGAGTACATCCCCCCACTTATAAACTTTTTAATGTATTTAACACCATTATAAATGCTGGATGCAAAGCAGGGTTTCGGGTGGAGGCTGACAGCTCGTGACCCCCCCACCCCATGTAATAACCTTGCAACCCCTTGAGGGGTCCCGATCCCCAGTTTGAGAACCCCTGGTTTAGATGTTGGGCCAGGCCTAGATAATCTCTACTCTCCACCCCAGCATCAGTGCTTAGCGGTCCCACTTCTTCTTTCCTTGTTTTCTTTTTATTTATATGGCTATAGAATCTTTTACTACTGGTTTTAATGCCCTTTGCAAGGTCCAACTCTGCTTGGCTTTTGGCAGTTCTCACATTATCCCTACACTTTCTGACCTCCAAGAGGTAGTGTTCCTTGTTGATCCATCCCATCTTCCATTACTTGTAGGCTTTCTGCTTTCTTGTAATCACCTGTTTGAGATGCTTGTTTATCCAGCTTGGTCTGCAACCCTGCCCTACGAATTTTTTCCACTTCCTTGGGATGCAGGCTTCTGATAGCTTCTGCAACTTTGACTTAAAGCAAGTCCAAGTCTCCTCCACATTCAGATCCTTGAGTTTTTCAGTCCAGTCCACTTCCCTAAATAATTCCCTTAATTTTTTTAAGTTAGTTCTTTTGAAATCAAGGACCCTAATTTTTTTCGTTTATTCTTCCATTTAGTTTAAACTGAATTAGCTCATGATCATTCAAACCAAGGTTGTCCTCAACAACCATTTCTTCTATGAGGTCCTGACTACTCACCAATACTAAATCTAAAATGGCATTACCTCATGTTGGTTCAGTGACTATTTGGTGAAGAAATCTGTCAGCTATCACATCCAGGAAAATCAGGGCCCTACAGTAGCATTTGTCCTCCAATCTATATCTGGGAAGTTAGTCTCCAATTATCACAGAATTCCCAGTATTATTTATTTCATTAAAACATTAAAGTGGTCTCTGTCCATACCCAAACCGGATCCTGGTGGTCTGTAGCACACCCCAAGCACTATATCAAGAGAACCCTCTAGTAGCTTTCTTCCCCAAAATGATTTTGGCCGAAATAGACTCTGTCATATCCATTCTATCACTTCTAATTTCTTTACAGCCTACCTCATCATAAATATACAATGCTACTCCACCATTGGCTTTGTTTGTCTTTCCTAAACAGCACATACCCTTCAATCCCTGTACTCCAGTCATGACTACTATTCCACCATGTTTCTGTTATCCCTATAATATCTAGTTTCACTTCCTGCACCAGTTGTTCTAGTTCCTCCATTTTGTTACCCAGGCTCCTTGCATTGGTGTACAAACATCTTGATTGTTGCTGCTTGGCTTCGCCCACATTTCTCGCCCAATTGGGTATAGTCATTCTACTGGCAATATTACCCATCTTAGACCTAGTCTACACTGCCGCTTAAGTCGATGTAAGTTACATTGCTCAAGGGTGTGAAAAAATCACCCACCGACCTGAGCAACGTAGCTGACATCGAACTAACGCAGTGTCTACACCGTGCTATGTTGGTGGGAGATGCTCTTCCGACAACTTACCTTCCGCCTCTCTGGGAGGTGGAGTTCTGAAGTCGACGGGAGAGCGCTCTGCCATTGACTTATCACATCTTCACCAGCCCTGCTAAATCAATGCCGCTGTATCAATTGCAGCAGAGCCAATTTAGTGTGCAAGTGTAGACATGCCCTGACTGGTATCAGCACTATCCTTCCTCTTAATGTCCATTCTTCTACCCACTACCGTTACTATTTTCATTGCTGTATCCTTTCTTACTTGATTTTCTTCCCTCTCAATATTAAAATCAAGATTACATGAGCATCTCCAAACAGTTTCCAATGAGTTCCTAGTTTAAAGCTCTTTTAAGGAGTTGTGCCAACTTCCATCCCAGAAGTCTATTTCCCGCCCTACTCAAGTCAAGCCATCCCATGAGAAAGTCCTCTGTCCATGAATGCCTTCCAGTGGTCAAAAATCCCAAAGCCCTCCTTCTAGCACCACTGCCTGAACCATCTGTTGAGCATCATAATCTTGTCTCACCTTCATTCTTCTCCTCTAGGGACAAATAGAATCCCACTAAAGATCACCTGAGCCTCTATTTCCTTAAGCATCTTCCCCAGCCTGGCATAGTCTCCCTTGATACATTCTAGGGAGAATCTAGCTGTATCATTTGTGAAGGACAATTAGTGGATTCTTTCCTGCTCCCATTAGGATCCTCTTCAGCCTCAGGTCCACATCCCATATCTTACCTCCTGACAGACAGCAGACCCTTCTGTTCTCCGGATCAGCTCTGGTGACATGCCTGTCTGTTCTTCTTAGTAGGGAGTCCCCAGCCATGTAAACCTACCTTTTCCTGGTGATGGTGTGATTCTCCAGCCTTCCTCCTGTGCTTTCTCGCTGCAAGTCCTTTTGTCTTTTATTCTCCCTTGCAATCTTCTGCAAGTCATCCTGTATCTTCCTGGGGCTCTGAACTCTGGTATCTCCATTGATTCTTCCCCTCTTCTTCCAGGAATAGCCATTCTTCTCTTCTTCCTTGCCCTCCCTCCTTCAGTTACAGCCTGCCATGCCACTACTTCATTTTCCAACTCAGCAAACCTGTTCCTGAACTCTATTTCTCTTTCACTAGCCGGTCTTTTCCTCTGCCTAGTTCTTGTAGTCACTGACCACTTTCCTCACCCAGCAGTCTCCCCTCCAAGTTCTTCAGTCCAGTTTGCATCTGCAAGTCTTGACTTTTCCCTTCAGCCTCCTCTTGCCTTTGCTCCGTCATCTGCTCGAACCCCCTCAAAATTCAACCATAGTTTCCACCTGCATCTCTGAGCCTCGGATCTTCTCTTTCATCAGCTCTATCAGGCGGCGCTTCATACAAACGAAGCTCTTTTCAAGTACCCACTCTAGGATCATGTACATCCCACAGCTTCCATATCCAGTTATCTGCATTGTTTCTTCCATTGGTTGGGTCACTACCACTGCTGCCTCTGTAACTATCATAGCCTTCTTGCCTAAACTTCTGTCAAGGAAAAAGAAACCAAAACAAAAAGAAAACAACCAAACAACTGCAAAACACCGCACACTCTCCCCGTCGCCTCCGCAAACTCTCACTCACACTCCCGTTTATAAAGCTTTCAGAATGCTACAGCACACTGCCACACAAACACTATCCTATCTCCCCTCTCCTATACACTAATTCACATCTTCAAAACCATTCCTGGCCAGGTCACCTCTCTCTCAATAGCCCCAGTAATTCCCCATAATTGGCTTATTCTGGCCTCTTTTTACATTGCTCTCTTTTGCTGCTTCCCCAGCTATTTGAAACAGCTAGCACACCTTATCTGTTCTCTTTAAAAAATGACTTAAAACCTACCTCTGCTATAAGGTCTAGATCTTGTCAGCCAAATATCAACCCTTCACACCCTCCTCTGTTTATCCCTGTGCACTATCCCCAACCATTCTCACACCTTTTACTGTAAAACTTCCACTGTTTAATACTTGTGCAATTGCACAGTTAGAAGGGATCCAAAGAAGGGTGATAAAAATGACCAGGGGCATGAAAAAACACTCACATGACCAGGGTTTGAAAAGATTGGGATTACTTACCTTAGAAAGGAGATGAAAAGCAACATGCTAAACGGATATAAAAATGTTGGTATAGAGAAGGCAGATTGAGAACTTCTGTTCTCCCTGTCTCAGAACACATGAAAAAGGAGTCACTCACTGGAATTAAGAGGTGGCAAATTCAAAATTGATAAAAGGAAATATTCTCTCACACAATGCATAATTGAACAGTGGAATGCATTGCCACAGGATGTCATTGAGGTAAAAAATTTAGCAAGATTCAAAAAGGGATTGGACATTTAACAAAAATATCCAGAGCTGTAATAGTTAATGCTAATATCTTTGAAAGAGGTTTAAAACCTCATGATTCAGGATTTAATCCAACATCTAACTAATAGAGATTATGAGGTGGGGCAAAATCTCACTCTCTCTCTCTCTCTGGCCCAGTGTATTTGAGAATACATAGTGGAACAGCTCCACAGGAGAAACTGAGAGAGACTTGTGTCAGAATAGTCTGTAGCCCAGTGGTGAGGGCATTGAGGTGGGAGCCTATGTTCAAGTGCTTGCTTCACATCAGGCAGAGGGGAGATTTAAAGCTGGGTTGCCCACATTCTGGGTGAGTGCTCTAACCACAGGGCTAAAGGTTACAAATTCACCATCTTTGCTAATTTTTGTGTGGATTTAGGTATGCTCTTAACATGCTTATTGGCTTGGGCCCTGAAGGCAAGATGGATGGGAATGCCTAGTTGTGATTCCTGAGGAGGTTTAGGTGCGAGTTAGGGTCTGAGCTGTGGGGCAGTGTCAGGCCTTTGGTGTAACAAGCCACCAAAATATATGTGCCTTGGGGACTTAAGAGTGGCAACTTAGGTGCTAAGGGACTTTAGGGGCTGTTGATAAATTGCAGTCAATTGCTTGACCACACTTTGGTTCATTATGTTGTTATGAAATATAGTTGAGACCAAATAACCTATGTCAATCACGTTTCTTAAAATGGTACAGGAAAAAGGTTCTATGTAATACCAGTCTCCAAAGAGCAGTCCTGTGCAGTGATGGTATATTCACCTTACACAGAAGGTGTACTCCCCGAAGTTACACCTCTAAAGCCACCCTTTTATACTCTACTTGTTTACTAGAAAAAGTTACTATATGTGCCATTTGAAACTGGATTAATTAATCAGCTTTCTACCTTGTTTGTTTCTGGTATCATGGTGCACCCCCTTTATCTTTTGTTCTGAACCCATGCATTCCAGGCTATGATGCACCTTTACTTTTGTTCTGAGCACATGCATTCCAGGTATTAAGGTTCATGAAGGCACCTCCTAGGTTTGTGTGGGTAACTCCTTTCCTGTTGTCATGAAGAAATAATCATATGTCCTGATACTGACAGTTTTCCTATCTACTCAAGCTAAGGATTACTTCAGCTAATGTAAGGTGCTATGGGATACTTAGTATAAGTGTATAGGACTATAAGTAAGGCTACATTTTAGTCACAGGTATTTTTAGTAAAAGTCATGGACAGGTCACAGGCCGTAAACAAAAATTAATGGGCTGTGACCTGTCCAAGACTTTTACTTAAAACACCTGGGTGTTCTGTGGGGGGAGGCGGTCTGGGGTGCCACGGGTGCTGGGGGAGGGGGAGCATGGCCATGGCATGTGGCCTGGGACCCCTGCTGGTACTGGTGGAGACAGGGGCATGGCCACAGCGCACGGCTCGTAACCCCCACTGGTACTGGGGGAGGTGGGCTGGCAGGGGCTTCCTACCCAGCTCTGCATCCCTGCAGCTCCTAGGCAGTGGAGGAGGGGCTTTGCTGCTCCTGCCACAAGCACCGGATACCACACCTTCCATTGGCCGGGAACTGCAGCCAATGGGAGTTGCAGCCAATGGGAGCTGCGGGGCCGGGGCCTGCGGGCAGCATGGAGACCCCCCACCCCTCTGCCGCCTAGGGAAGCTGCAGGGGGGCCATGCCAGTGGGAGCCAGGAAGTCCCCCACTCCAAGGTAAGCATCCTCCCGCACTCCCCAACCTCCTGCCCCATGCCCCCTCCCACACACCCAAACTGCTGCTGCTGGCCCAGGGGCTGCCTGGTTTGGGCAGCCCCTGAGCCAGCACCAGCCGCTGCAGAAGTCACAGAAAGTCATGGAATCTGTGACCTCCATGACAGACTTGCAGCCTTAATTATAAGAAAGGTACAGGCCAATCTGGGCTATGTAACTGCTATACTAATGCTTAATATGTATACTTAAATGCTTAAATATATATATTGTGGGTAGTATTATTAGCATATATATATACACTGGCTAGCAAACATATTAGTCAAAAGGGCCTACAGAGTTAGGCAGTAGGTGACCAAGGGTTTTGTAAATGCCAGTGGCACCTAAATGTTGTATTCTAGGTGCATAAAATGGCAGTTATGTACCTAAGTGCCCCTTGGGTATCCCACCCCTAATGTAAACAGAGCAAGGTGCAGTTCCACCTCAGTGAAGCTGGTTGAGGAGAATCCAAGGTAAAAGTATAGCTTGCCCTGTCTACACTAGGATTTTACAATGACTTTATCTCATTGTAAAAACATGGTCACAGAGAACATCCTGCTAGTAACTTCCTCTCTTTTAAATGAAGCATTAACAGCTTGATCCAATGACCCACTGAGACTTCAATGTATGTATGTGGGATCACACCCTAAACTCTTTAAGAAGTTCCTGCCAGAGTATCTGTAGGGTCAGTTACCACTAATAATGACCAATTAGTGGATATTTTGTTATTTAAAAGACACTCCAATAGTGTTTGGAGTCTCCATGTATATAGTAAGCCAGATGCAGTGTTGCCAACTCTCACAATTTTATTGTGTGAATCTTGAGATATTTGATCTTTTGCTTAAAGCTGTAGTTCCTGTAGTGAAGTGATTACACGAGACTCTCTGCTTTCTTTAAATGAAAAGGTTTCTAGCCCTTTTGGTTGCGGAGAACAACCTGAAAGCATGAACCTAAAAAAATAGAAAGCAAATAAAAAGAACTTGGCTGATCAGGCCTAGACTGAGCTGCTTGGCTGCCTTTTGAACTCCTGCCCTCAGTCTGAGCATGCTCGGTAAGGGCTAAGGGGCAGGCCATCCTTAGCCCATAACTGTTCCTTAACCCTTTCCTGACTAGTGAGTGGTTTTTACATTCTGTCACACTATCACGATTCTTTTTTTAAGGGGGACTGACTTATTGTTTTTGAAAGCTTGGGGATGACACTGCTGCAGCTGTAAGTGCATGAGAGAACTGTTAGTATTACAGTTCAAAATGCTGAGGAGCAGAAAGGCCCATTTTCAGGGTTTGGTCTGAGTAATGAGAGATCGGTCTTTACTCTCCCATCAGTCCTGTAGTCTTAACCTGGGTCTTCAGAATTACTTAATTGAAATAATAGCAAATATTTTATTTAGGGGAAAAAAACCCCACACTCATAAATGCAGGCCTATATATGCAGTACACCCATGAGACCATTTACACTTTTCTAGAGGTTCATGCTGGGTAAATTATAGACAGAACAGAGCTGGGGCACGACAGAACTGGATCACTCCAGAAGAAGGTCCAGAAGATATTGTGCCTCAAATAGAGACTCATAATTCCTCTAGCGTGCTTAAGCTATCCCTTAGGATGATGCACTGGGCTTTCCTTTTTGTATATGACAGCCTCCCCCTCCTTATAATGTGCAGTCACTATCTGGATTTGAATTAGATGTCATCATCAGACCAGTCATTGTGACATCACCAGAAATCCTAAGAGTGTTACATGGTTGCCAGCAACTACAAAGTAGAAGACTTAGTAAATGACCACAGTATCCTGTGAATGCAGCAGCAAAAGGTATGGAAAAATTCAAAAAGGTAACCATAATTTCCCAGGTAGCTTGTATAAGACCACACTTGTAACCACAGCAATATCTATATTTTTATCCATAATGCCCAGAGTATTCGGCAAACAATAGTAATTTAAAAGTATCTAGAATAATTAGCATCCAAAAAGGGAAACACATATATAAACAAAAGGTTACAAATAAATATATATTGTTGCTGGTTCCTGGCTGCCAGTTTGATGGGCATGACTAGTGGTTCTAGCAGGGGATTGGAAGCTAGAACTCTTGGGTTCTATTCTCTCTGCCACTAG